ATGCCAACTGGGCCTCATTGCTTTTACCTTCATAAATGAATTAACTTCAGCTGGCCTTACTTCAATGGTTAAAAGTTATGTTATTTTTCTGGGCATTAAAGCAGAAGTTGTAGAGAAAAGGTGTGAGCCAATCTTTTTAAACCCTGAAAACTAGTATAAAGGAAGGATAATTGATTCATAGCAAAAGGTACAATCCTAATATTTTACACTTCCTGTCAGATAGTCACTTACTGATTGATAGTGCCTGGACTCCATTTCTCCAAATGTGTAGAAAAACTGGATGCACAGGAGAAAGAATTAGAGCCTCAAACTCAGACCTAGTTTCAATTCTCAGTCCTATTATTTGCTAGCCATGTGACCTTAGGCAGTTATTTCAGTCTTTTGTACCTAAGTTTCTAAACTGTCAAATGTCCATTGCAATAGGAGGCATATCCAATAACACTCCCAGGGCAGTCTGGGACAGACCCTGCAATTAAATGCATTGCTTTTTCTGCAGTAAAACATATTTTCACTGCATGGGATAAAGATTACAAATAGTCTCATCTATTCAGGTCAAAACTCAAACCAAAGTTTTCAGGTCCAATTTACAAAAAAGCAAAAACAAAAACAAATTCCCCCACATTTCCTTTTGAGAATGTTCTGGGTGGTAGAACTGCTGGTAAGGGCAGGTGACTGCTCCCACTCCCTGGGGAGATGTGAGCATTGGATGTGGTAACACACATGAGGTCCCATTCTTACTGACATGAGAAGGGACTTTTAAAGGGTTAGATAGCTATTATTATTGGGAAACTGCAAGTTCTGACCATGTCACCTGCTTGCTTTGAACTCTGATGGTTCCTCACTATCTACAAATTAAAATCTAAATTGCGAGGAGTGGCCTGCAATGAACTAAGTCCCTTCCAAAACTGGACACGGGCTGTTCCGGCTGTTATTACTCTCTTCTGCCTGGCCACCAATACACCTTTTGCTTTGGTCACGTAGAAATAATCGGTTCTTTATTCCCTCCTGTTCTCTCTCTCTCGGCCTGGACTATCATCTACAACCTCCTTCCTTCACACCGACTACTGCTCTATCCAATGACATCTCCCCTAGGAGGCTCTCCTTGGCCCTCACCTAATGACACTCCTTCCTCCGCCTTCCCAGCACACTAGAAACTGAGAGCTCTGTCCAGCCCTTGGGAAACAGCAATTTTGGAGGCAGATGTCTTTTATCTCAAAGGTCCGTACACAGTAAGTGCTCAATAAATGCTTGTTTGGTGAATAAGGCCATCAGCAATCTGTTTCCTCAATATGTTGATTCCATCAGGTCGGGGCTATAAAAATCAATCAATCAGAGGTTACATAAGGGCAGGTTTTAAAAAATATATGTATTTTATTGATTTTTTACAGAGAGGGATAGAGAGTCAGAAACATTAACCTGTTAACCGGGGAGTTACCTTTTTAATTATGCAACCTGTAACGGGCAAGTACTCTTTCACTAGGACGTGTCAGTACATCACGCCCAGAGGACATAATTTCATATTATTATTTTTTTATTTATACTTAATTAAAATAAATGAAATATTTTTTTTATTTATATATAAAGCACAAAGAAAAATACAAAATTACAAATAAATAGAAAAGAATACCAACAAAAAAAATGGAAACATCGAATTAAAAAATTATGTTTTACAAACAATTATAACGATTACAAAAAATATATACTGTCCCTCTCAGGGCGCAACATATATTTCAAGGACGTATTAATATGTCCTACCTGTTCCCGATATTGTTTACATTTGACGTATTTATAGGTCCCTCTCGGTTAACAGGTTAATGAGAGAGAAACATCAATCAGCTGCCTCCTGCACACTCCCTACTGGGGATGTGCCTGCTACCAAGGTACATGCCCTTGACTGGAATTGAATGCAGGACCCTTCAGTCTGCAGGCCAACACTCTATCCACTGAGCCAAACCACCAGTTAGGGCAAGAGAAGATTTTTGATCACTGTTGTATCCCCGGGGCCTGGTACTCAATAAGCACAGCTTTTCTAAATATATGAATGAGTGAATGGGTGAATGATTGAAGAGTATGATACATATTTATGACAATGTTAAAACAAACCACCACGACCAACAACAGAACACAAACCCATAGCATGTGCTTTTAAATCTCATAAAATATGGCACTGGCTAAAAAGGCTGTCCTACCTTTTTAACCAGTGCCATATAAGTTCCATGGGCCTGAATCACAAAGCATCACCTCTCACCTGGTCCAGTCACTAACAGGGCTCTACAGAGCCTGAGTGGCAAAGTGAGCTAACCTAAGGATCCCCCAGAACATTTCTGTCCCAGGGCAGTTCCCATAAAACATTTATCAGCCCTGCTCCTGCCCCATAATCTCAAATATTCAGCAATTCATCCAACTTGCATGAGTCATAAAATATTTTACTGAATAAAAAAACAGCTAACTTTTATGGAGTGCGTCCACCTACGTTCATATCATGCAAATATCATTCTGTCTTTTATCTTTTTTTACATTCCCTTTTTCTCCTTGGGACTCACACAGCCCTCTCTCCCCCACACCCAGGTCCTACCCATCACTCCCCACTTAGTTTGAGGTCAGTGACTTATAAGCTGGCAGGAAGAGGCCACTACCTGCTCACAATAAACTCACTCAAAAGCAAAATACAGCCAAAACCGGCTTGGCTCAGTGGATAGATTGCCGGCCTGTGGACTGAAGGGTCCCAGGTTCGATTCCGATCAAGGGCATGTACCTAAGTTGTGGGCACATCCCCAGTAGGGGATGTGCAAGAGGCAGCTGATGGATGTTTCTCTCTCAACAATGTTTCTAACTCTCTATCCCTCTCCCTTCCTCTGTGAAAAATTAAAAAAAAAAAAATATATATATATGCAAAATACAGAGGTCCAATTGGCACTGGAAGCTTCCAGTGATGGACAGGCTCTCAATGCTAGTTATTCCCAAACATATGATTACAAAAGGCCGGACACTATGCCTCCGGCTCTCCGAGAACAGCAGGACCTCTGTCTTCCAAAAAGAAGGCCTTTTAACTTTGGGAATCTCACTCCTTGTACCAGGGAAACGGTTCAACGCAATAAACCTAAGTCATTGCCTCCCAATTCCCACAGGAAAGCAGTAACCCTTCAAATGCTGAGGGTTTCTAAACGCTCAAGTTCTAACATCTATGTCTCCAGTCAATCACGCGGCCCTGGGAAGACCGAGAGGAAGACGGAGTGGGGAGTGCCAGGATGCATTTCTGGCTTCACCAATATCTCAAAATTTCGGTGACTCTTCGTGGGCCTCAGTTTCTTCGTGGGTAATGAGAAAATCTGATCGGATCAGTGTTTCCCAGAGAACAGCGGGCGTTCAACGCAAGACGTCTTAATAGGAGAAAGAATAGACTTTAGATGCACGCAGATGAACATGTTTTAGCTATTAAGTTTAATTCTTTACAAGTGATGCTGGTTTTCCATTAGCGGTGGGAATGTAAAATTTCCTTGAAAATAAAAACATCTAAGGCTTAAAAAAAGAAGTCCCTTTTAAAACCACACACACACACACACACACACACACACACAAAACAACAACAAAAAAACCTCACACTAATTAAAAAAAAAAAAAAAGAAGAAGAAGAAGAAGAAGAATTCAGGTGGTTCTTGCAGCTGTGCAAAAATAAATGCTCTAGGGACCGTGGTGCTGCGGAGAGGCCTGTGAAGCCCAGTGAAGCCTAAGGAAGAGAGTGGAGGCCCTGGAGGCTCCTCGCCATCAGAGAATCCCCGACACCAGGGCCCAAGGGACCATCTCTCCCAGCCACGTCCCTCTCCTCCCCTCTGTCCCCCCGCCCGCCGGCCCCCACAGCAGGAGGCTTGGAACTGATGAGGGCGGGCAAAGAAAGCCCTTCAGGTCCGACAAAATCCCACCAAGGAGAGGCGGAGGCGGGCGTGGGGTCGTGGGGTCCGGGCTGGAGGGGCGGGGGCCGGGGAGAGGATCTGCGCGGGGAGAGGCGCGGCGGGGACTCCAGTCTCGGGCGCACTGGATGGGGATCCCGGGCTGGAGGGGCGCAGTGGGACCAGAAACTGGGGAGAGGGGGTGCGGGGCTGGAGGGGCGCAGTGGGACCAGGAACGGGGGGCAAGGGGGTGCCCGGCTGGAGGGGCGCAGTGGGACCAGGAACGGGGGAGAGGGGGTGCGGGGCTGGAGGGGCGCAGTGGGACCAGGAACGGGGGAGAGGGGGTGCGGGGCTGGAGGGGCGCAGTGGGACCAGGAACGGGGGGCGAGGGGGTGCCGGGCTGGAGGGGCGCAGTGGGACCAGGAACGGGGGAGAGGGGGTGCGGGGCTGGAGGGGCGCAGTGGGACCAGGAACGGGGGGAGAAGGGGTGCCGGGCTGGAGGGGCGCAGTGGGACCAGGAACGGGGGGCGAGGGGGTGCCGGGCTGGAGGGGCGCAGTGGGACCAGGAACAGGGGGAGAAGGGGTGCCGGGCTGGAGGGGCGCAGTGGGACCAGGAACGGGGGGCGAGGGGGTGCCGGGCTGGAGAGGCGCAGTGGGACCAGGAACGGGGGGAGAGGGGGTGCCGGGCTGGAGGGGCGCAGTGGGATCAGGAACGGGGGAGAGGGGGTGCGGGGCTGGAGGGGCACAGTGGGACGAGGAACGGGGGGCGAGGGGGTGCCGGGCTGGAGGGGCGCAGTGGGACCAGGAACGGGGGAGAGGGGGTGCCGGGCTGGAGGGGCGCAGTGGGACCAGGAACCGGGGTGCCGGGCGGGAAGGCCGGGGTGGGGCCGAAAACGGGGGTGCCGGGCGGGCGGGGCGCCGGGAGAGAGGGTCCCGGTGAGGGGCGTGGCAGGGCCGGGGTCCGGGACCGAGCGGCGGGGACGGGAACCGGAGGGCTTGCGGGGGAGCCCCGGCGGACGGGGGCGCCTCGGGCCGCGCGCAGAGGGCCGGCCCCCGGCCCCCACGGCCCCCGCAGGAGGGAGGACCGGCCGCCCACGCCCCGCCCCGCCAGACCTGTCCTCGCTGGCGGTGATCACGCCGTCCTCCTTGGGGATGAGCAGCGCGGCGGTGACGGCGTCCTGGTGGCCCTCGATCTTGCTCAGCAGCACCGGGCGGCTGCTCTGCGGCCTGGAGTGGATCTCGGCCGCCATGTTCGCGCTGCGGCGGCTGCGGCGGCGGCCGGCGGGGGCGGCCCATCAGCTGACCGCGGCGGGCGGGGCGGGGCGGGGCGGGGCGGCCGCCGGTTTCGCTGGGGCTGCGGCCGCGTGGGCGTCGCGCTGCGGCAAGCGCGGCCCTAAGCTCCCCAGTGCCGCGCGGGAGCGCCGTATTGCCTGGGGAAGCTGCGCAGCCACATTTACCCCATTGACTACAGTAGGTTGGGGGTGTGGGGAGGGGTGGGTGGGGGAAGAGACGCTTGCTCCCCCGGGAGGAGGGAAAGTGGTAAAGGTTGAAAAGGTAAAGGAAAGACCACGGAAAGGCATTCTTGAAGAAGAGGAAGACGGAAAAAGTAAAGGTAAAAATCATGAACAACAAATACACATCTATCAACAAGTGAACCTAAAACTCAAGTGAATTAAAAATCTGAGGAACAGAATAAACTGGTGAATATAATGGAATCAGGGGCAAAGAATGGGAGTGGATTGATCATTATCAGAGGGGAAGGAGGGTGGGCGTGCAGGAAGAGACTGGACTAAAATCGTACACCTATGGATGAGGACAATGGGGGCGAGGTAAGGGTAATGGCAGAGGGTGGGGTGGGAACCAGGTGGAGGGAAGCTATGGGGGGAGGGAGAGAGGAACAATTGTAATAATCTGAACAATAAAGATTTATTAAATTTAAAAAAAAGAAGAAGAAGAAAAGGTAGAGGGCCCTAACTGGTTTGGCTCAGTGGATAGAGCGTCGGCCTGCAGACTGAAGGGACCCGGGTTCGATTCCGGTCAAGGGCATGTACCTTGGTTGTGGGCACATCCCCAGTAGGGGGTGTGCAAGAGGCAGCTGATAGATGTTTCTCTCTCATCGATGTTTCTAACTTTCTATCCTATCCCTCTTCTTTCCTCTCTGCAAAAATCAATAAAATATATTAAAATTAAAAAAAAGAAAAAGAAAAGGTAGAGGAAAGAAAGTCCAGCCTAAAGAAAAGTATTGTAGGGGTTTATTTAAGCCCAACTGAGGACAGTATCCAGAAAGCAAAAATCTCAACAGATTGAGAAAATATTCCAAAGAATGCCAGTTTTGCATCTTATTTTACACATTAGAATAAAAGGAGGAAACATAAAGAGGGTTACAAGTAATCCATTGGTGGCAGATTAAGGGGGTAGAAGAAAGCAATGTAGAGAAATCTCTATGATAAGATAAAAAGTAAAACAGAGAGGCACATACATACGTCTTTTACATTGGTGGGTACAGCATAGTTACCATTTACAGCACCTCGAGATGGTATTGGGGGGCAAAAAAGATAATATGGGATTCTGTTGTCTTGTGCCCTGTGGGATCTGGAGAAGGAGATTACTCTGACATTTCAAAAGTCTATTATTTAGATGCAAAAAAAAAAAAAAAAAAAAGACCATGGCCAAGCTCACTGAAGGTAAAGATTGACCTTTGTGTGATGACCCACCATGAGTCACTTTCTGTTAGGAATTTTTATGTTCAACCATCCTATGTGGTTGCTTTTGATCTCTGAGTCTGTAAGGCCTGACATACAGGCCTCCCCTGAGCTTGTCAGGTTTATTATGTGGCCTCTTTGTTTTGTCCACAAAAAGTTAAGTCCTTTACACAAGAATGGACTGAGCAGTTGGCAGGGAAGAGGAATTGTCCCCCAAACCAGAAAATGATACCACTGCCTTGTATTCATTCTAAAAAGCCATTGTTTGGAAGGCATCTTCATTTCAGAGATTTTAATACATTGTATACCTACTGTGTGCCATGCACTGACAAGATAAATGAGATGTGGTTCTTATAAGGCTGTACAGTATAATGGCTAAACAGGCTAATGAACAACGTTTTCCCCCAACAACAAATATGTCTTTATTATTGAATATGGGCTGTGAGCCTGGCACCATTCTAAATACAGCTATGCTTAAGTGAGACAAAAATTGCTCAGTCATTAAAACTTATATTCCAGCCGAGACCGGGTTGGCTCAATGGATAGAGCGTCGGCTTGGGGACTGAAGGGCCCCGGATTCGATTCCAGTCAAGGGCATGTACCTTAGTTGCAGGCATATCCCCAGTAGGGGGTGTGCAAGAGACAGCTGATCGATGACTCTCTCTCATCGATGTTTCTTACTATCTCTCTCCCTTCCTCTCTGTACAAAATCAATAAAAATATATTTTAAAAAAACTTATATTCCAGTGAAAGAACCAGATAATAAAATAAATAACTAAATTATCTAGTATATTAACAGATGCCAAGTGCTGTGGAGAAAATAATACTGGCAGGGTGATAGGGACTCTAGGAAGTGTTGCAATTTTACATAGGATAGTGGGATAGACCCTGAGATACACTCCACGCGTGTGTCTTCTGGGAAGGAGGGTCGTTAGCAGGTAGCCTCTAGCTTTCCTCTCTTTCCGAGTCTGCCTTTGTTACAGAGAGCCACTGCCCTCCACAGGCAGCCTGAATTTGGTAACTAAATGAGACATGAATACAAAGGCCTGGCCGTTTCAACCAGACCCAGGACACTCTGATGGGCAACACAGGCTCCAGAACTCTCTCCTGGGTTGGGTGAGGCTTTGCCAGGCCGGCACTGCCGCTGACTGTATCTGCCTACTCCCGTTACACCTCCTTTCCTTCACAGCTATGGATCCTCAAAAACACTCTGTGGGCCAACCTCTGTGTCAGCACCTGCTTGCAGAGAGGAATGCGACCTGGGACAATGGCCAGGGAAGGCTTCATGGAGAAGGTGACATTTGAGCAGAAAAGGAGAGGAGGGAGTAGCTGTGTGGAAATTAGCGGCAAGTGCTGTTCTGGGAAAGGGAAGAGCACGTGCTAAGGTCCGGAGGTAAGAACATGCCTCGGGTTTTCTAGGATTGGTGAGACAGCTAGCGTGGCGGGAGCAGAGTGAGTGAGGAGTGCAGAAGGAGAGGAGGACAGAAGGGTCACCGGACAGACCATATTGAGCCCTGGGGAATAGTAAGGACTTTGACTTTAGCTAAGTGAGATGGAAAACCATTGGAGGATTTGAACAGACGACTGGCTTAATCTGCCTTCAATTTTATTTTATTTATTTTTAAGGAACTACCTTATTTATTTTTAAATTTTTATTTATGATTTGAGAAAGAAACATCCATCTGTATGTTGCCTCACTTATTTATGCATTCATTGGTTGCTTCTTGTATGTGCTTTGAGCAGGGATCAAACCTGGGACCTTGGTTTAGTAGGTCGATGCTCTAACCAGCTGAGCTACCTGGTGAGGGCTTTACTTCATTTCTGACAGCAACTCAGGGCCTTGCCTATTTTACGAATAACCCCACCTACTGCCACCCTGATTGTTTTGAAAATCTGAGACCTTCTTTTTCACAAGTAAATATTTCGGTGTAAATCTGTAAAACTTAAAGATTTAAAGAAAAAACTAAAATACTACCATTGAGGGCTCTTCTCCCCCCCCCCCTTTCCACCCTCCCCCCCAATTATCTGATATTAAAAAACTTCTCAGTATTCAAATAATGCACATCTCATTTCTTTCCAGTTGATTTGTTCCTACCAGGGTCCTAACATATTTGATTTTAAGACCCTGTTTGTCTATAGAACCTCCCTTCCTCTTTGTCACCCAGCAGATATTTGTTAAGGAAAACACAGCCGCCCCTCCCACCGCGTGCGGCCCTGCCCGGCCCGGCCCGGCCTGGCTCGGCGCTCGGATTCCGGGGGGGACTGTGTCACCGCGACACCGTCCCGCCGCTTCTCCTTCCGCCCTCCGCCGCCTCCTCCCCAGCCATGGCTTCCGGGCTGGGAAGGCTGCTGCTGCTGCAGGGGCCTCGCTGCCTTCTGGCCCCGGTCGCCCCCGCTCTCGCCCCGCCGGTTCGGGGCGTGAAGACCTTCCGCGCCGCCGTCCGCTTCCAAAAGGAGCTGGAGCGGTGGCGCCTGCTCCGCAACCCGCCGCCGCCCGTGCGCCGGTAGGAGCCGCCCGGGAGGGGCCAGGGCGGCGGTCGCGGACCCGGGCCTCCCGCCGGGCTGCGGCCTCGCGGCGGGGCGGGCAGGTGGTCGCTCGTGCGCGCCTGGTGCGAGCCCGGGAGGTTTGCGGTGGAGACGCGGGGACGGAGCCAGGGGGAGTGGGTTTGGGGGGCTGCCCGACGCGTGGGAACCCCCTGAGGCGCCAGCCCGCGGGCTGTGGGAAGTGAGCGGCTGCAGGGCGACCTTCCCGTGGCCTTGGGTGTCGGGGCCGTGTGTTCCACCACAATCCACTTCTGTCGCAACAGAGAAGCGTTTTAGCTTTAGGTTCTTGTCCCAGGAATAGGAGATCCGTGGAAAGGGACGTAGATCCTTTCTGATGGGTGTTTCTAGTTTTTTGGGATGTATTCCTAGAAGTGGGATTTGTCCTGTTTACCATGTGTTACTGTGGTCTTCTGTTTTACATTTTCAGTTCAGAGAAGCCCAACTGGGATTACCATGCTGAAATACAGGCGTTTGGACATCGGTTACAGGAAACCTTTTCCTTAGATCTTCTCAAAACTGCCTTTGTGAATAGCTGCTATATTAAAAGTGAGGAGGCCAAACGCCAGAAACTTGGAGTAGAGAAAGAAGCTGTTCTTCTGAATATTAAAGATAATCAAGAGCTATTTGAACAGGGGTCATCTTTTTCAAAAGCTTGCCTCACCCAGTTTCTGGAGAACGCATTCCCAGACTTGCCCATTGAAGGCGTTCAGAGTCTTGTTGACTTTCTGGCTGGTGAGGAAGTCGTGTGCCATGTGGCTAGAAACTTGGCTGTGGAGCAGTTAACGCTGAGCGCAGACTTTCCAGTGCCCCCGACTGTGTTACAGCAGACTTTCTTTGCCGTAATTGGAGCACTGCTACAGAGCAGCGGACCTGGGAGGACTGCACTTTTCATCAGGGTGGGTCATTAGTAAATTGCACATACTGAGGTGGACAGAAAGAAAAAAATTTTTTTAATAAGTCTTTAAAATATATATAATTAATTTCAGAGAGGACAGGAGAGAAAG